GGCTGTTGTCTGTCTGGACAAACTAAAGCAGTTGAGTTGGCATCCTAACAAACTACATAGTGTAATTTCTGAACAGGAAGGCTTGGGATTCAGTGTCATGAGTTGGGATTTAGTTTGTCATTTATGAGCTTTATTCATTTGCCTCTCTCAGTGACTCAGTGCTGGAAATATTCATTTGTGAAGGAGGTGAGGAATCTGTTTCTATGACTTTTTGGTTTGGTTTGGTTTTTTTGGTGTTTTTCCATGCCTTCTCTTTCAGAGGAAATCTTGTTTTTACCTAATGATTAAATTACTGGGGTGTTTTTTCTCACAGCTTCCACCTTTTTGAATCATGTGATTTACAGATAACATCCAAGAGTAGTAGAGTTGAACCTTCATACAAAGAAATTTCATACTGGAACCTGTTCTTTTTAACTTCAGTAATTAATTATATTTGTTAGTTTGCTGTATTTGTATCTTTTCTTTATAACTGTGTCATGGCAGTTCTTAAACATGTTCCTTCTAGGAGAAAATTATTCTGTGAACACCATTTTGTCATATGGCACATTTCTCAAGCTCTGTGATTCTTGACTTTCCACAAGGCTTTTCTTCTGTTTCAGCAAAACATTTCTTCTGTTTAAAAAAAAACCCAAACACTTGTTATTTTTCTGCTCTCTGATAAAAGAAGCTGAACAAGTGAATTGTGTTTCTCTGTTTTATCTTCTGTTTGTATTTTTCAGGTGCAGATTTGGCAGATGGTTCTTGTGCTCATCCCACCATTCCTGGCAGAGTCTCTCCCCTGTTACCTGCAAATCATGTGACAATGACAAAAGGGACAGGATTAGTTCACACAGCCCCAGCTCATGGTATGGAAGATTACAGCGTAGCTTCCCACCATCAGCTACCCACGGTACTTCATCTTTTCAGCTGTTGCTCTTGATTTCCTGCAACTGCTTGACTGTGTGCCCCTAAAATTATTTGTTTTGATTTGTGTATAAAACTAGAAAATGTTTTGAAGCATTCACAGAAGTGAGTATCACTAATGGCCTGCAGGAATGCAAGACTAACCTAAAGAAATGTGTATCAGGATAAAAGAGTGAAGTTTCCTTCTGCTGATTAAAACTAAGAAGGAGGTGTTAGAATCAGATTTTTCTGCTCTTTGTGTAGCTTTGTGTTTTTAAAGGACAACATAGAGAATGGTTTTCAGGTATTGACTCTCACTACTCAGAATTGTCTTTTACGTGCAGATCAGTAAGTCATCAGTTATGTAGGTCATTGTTACTTTTTTTTTCAGCAAAGCTCGTTTTAAACACATGCATAAATGCAGCTCCTTTATGCATGGCCAGTTTGTGATTGATGGGAGTGAAGATTCAGGATGTGGGGCTTGGGGAGGGTGAGGTTTGCTTTTATTTCACACTGTTTATTTGAAAAGTCATTGAAATGCCAGTGACTGTGATGTTTGATAGTTGTGGTATGTGTGTACATGCAATGGTGCTCATTTCTTCTGACACCTAAAATTCACTTGCCTGGTAGATTACTAAACTGCAGTTCACTAAATCTGAAGTGTACTTAAATATTTTGATATTTATCAGAAAAGGAGTCACCCAGTACAGTATTTAACTCACTTTTGAATAACAAAAAGATAATTAATTGCCACGTGGTATTTTATTGACATGATTATTTATTTTCAGGATTGCCTTGTGGATGAAAGTGGGTATTTTACAGAAGCAGCAGGTCCTGAACTTAAAAACAAGAATGTCCTTGAAGAAGGGAATGAAGCGGGTGTGTATTTGATGTTTGACCATTTGTTACTTCATCAGTTACAGTCCTGCAGGTTTATATTTTGAGAGTTTGTATAAATTGGCCATATTTTGAATATGGATGAGGTACAGGCATTTCTTGCTAAATGTTGATTATGGAAAGGGCTGAGTTGAGTTTAACAGCAGCCATATGTTCAAAATGAAATTTAATCTTGCTTCATTTTTTCTCTCAGTCATTAAGATGCTTCAAGCAGCTGGGAGTTTGTTAAAAGAGGAGAAATATGTGCACAGTTACCCCTACGACTGGAGGACTAAAAAACCAATGATTATTCGTGCCAGCAAACAGTGGTTTGTAAACACAGCAGATGTGAAGGCTGCAGCACAGGTATGTAATTTTGCTTTCTTATGAGTCACTTGAAGACAACTGATGCTATTTGGAATCAGCAAAATAATCTTGCTGCAACTCCCTCCAGAATATGTTCTTCTCTAGGGTCTATGAACAGTAGTAGTTGTAAATTGTTAATTACTTGTTGAATATGTTGTCAGTTTTCTTGTCAATACTGATATAATCCAGAGTAGCTATGCTGACTGGTATATTTGCTCATTGTATTTACACATGTAGAAGTTTCTTAGAGCTACTGATTTTTTTCCCCTAAAATATTTTTCAAAAAATGATGTTTCAAGGAATTTAATTAGAAGAGACAATTTTATCACTGTTAAAATTATCTTTTTTGTTAGGTTAGCCTTGTGTGGTCATACATCTTTGTTTGCTACCCTGTTAATTTTGTCACATTTTAAATAACTTTAAAGCTTGGGGTCTTTTGTTCTTTGAAGTTATGTAAATCCACACAGAAAATTCAGATCAGCACCTTAGGGTAATAGTGATTTTATTCTAATTAGGGCATGAGGTGTATATTCCATTAATTTTATCTAGAATGGATGAAAACATAGTGAAAGCAGGGCTGGGAGTGAGTGGTAGCCCACTACAGACAGTTTGTATCAAGGTGGGTTTTCAAAGTTGACAACAGTACAAGATACAGTCATCTTTTAAACTTCAGATTGAGTCACTGATGCCATTTTAAACTCACCTTTGGGGTGTGTTTTCTAGAGAATCAGAGAACTGGGGTTTGGTTGGGAAATACACAGTATATGCAGTGTTCATATAAGTAATTGAAGAGCAGCAGGCAGTTGTCTGAGAATGTGTTGTTTGATACTGGGAATGGGAGAGTAGAGATCTGTACCGTATTTTACTGGCACCATAAACATCATTTGTGGGAAAGCTGAAGCATGTGTACCAGTTCACTGTCTCCTTTATAGGATGCACTGAAAAAAGTGAAAGTGATCCCTACATCTGCAGTGAACAGGATGCTGGAGATGTTGGACAGAAGGACGTTCTGGTGCATATCACGGCAAAGGTGCTGGGGCGTCCCGATTCCTGCTTTTTATCAGAAGAGCACGGGAGAATGCTTGATAAACAGGTACCTGTCTAGCCTTAGACACTGAGAAGTGACAGAAGAAGCACTGTCTGTTGTGCTTTCGAGTAGGAATACATGCTTTTACTTGTAGTTGTTTACACACAGATCTAATTTAGCTGTAAGTTACAACAATCAAAAACTTGTTGCTGGAAGTGACTTGTATATAAATAATAGGAATCAATTTACTTAGATACTTAAGTTACCTGAAAACTCCCCTTGAGATTAATTGCTGGTTTCTTCAATGAGTCATGACTGGCCTTTGCATTTAAGCAAGCAGTGAAATGCAAGTTGTGGTTAGAATAGATAGCAATTGTAATTGTAGCAGTCTAGGCACTGGGCAGTCTAGGTACTGTGTCAAAATAGCTTTTTGCAGTTAAGTGGCAGTGAGATCTGAAGTGGAATAACCACACTGGTTGCAGAATGAACAAGTGCATTTTGTTCAAAACAAAAATTGGAATGGTTTTGAAGACCAGCCTCAAGTGTAACTGACCATTAGCTATATGATTTGGTATGTTCAGATCTTCAGATGCTAGCCTGATTCTGTCATCTTTTGGTTAATAGTATCCAGATATTGCAAACACTGCATTTCAGGAATTCTAGACAATGTAATGCAGAGGAATTCCAAGCTATGCTTTAAAACAAGGAAACTCAACCCAATATGATCCTTTTCTGCCCTGTAAGGAGTAGTAGAGTTCTGCTTTTACTTCTTTGGGGAACAGAGGCTTACAGTTGTGAATGCCCTCTAAGAAGTGATTTCACAAAAAGAGTATTGTGGAGTTCCACATTCACTGGATTAGTTCCATATTTTTTTCTGCCTTGAGATATGCTGACATAACTTGGTTTTGTACACCTTGACGGTACAACCTCTTGTGAAAATTCATAAGAAGTTTTCACAGCTGGAGATGAACTTGAATACTGTTGCAGAACGGTTTTTTTTCATTCTGGTATTGAGTAAATATACTGCAGGAGTCCAGCATGTTGTCCAGAGGCTGTACTGAGCACACAGGCAGTAGATAGTAGACAGTAGTAGGTGAGGCTCAGGGTGTGGAGGGCAGGGAATGAACTTTAGACAGGTAGTCCTTAGCTTCACCTGGTGTGACTGGGTGTGTAGGTGCAGAGAGATGTACTTTGGCTCTCTCACTGTAGGCAATAACTGTGAGAAAAGACCACAATAGCCACAATGTCGTTTATAGTGCCTGGATAATGCTGGCACATATCAGGAAATAAATGGGTGGAGGATTTGTGGGGCATAAAACCATTTTACCTGCAAAGAAGTATGTGTGTGTCTCTATAAAAAACTACTATTTCTGAGGAATAGTTTTGTATTCCGGTTGAAGAGTAGGCTTGAGTGTGTGTGTGTTGCTTAAAAATTGTTAAATACGTAGTTTAATAAGAAAAAGAGTGTAATGAAAAGCAGTCCAGCAGTTGGCAATAAAATGTGAAGGACACCATGAAGCAAGAGCTCCTTCTGAAAGGAGCATTTGAAAGGAGGCATGTGTGGGAATTCCTTTAGGTTGCAGTAGAATCACCTTGACCTATATTCAAGCTTCTGCCTTTTGTGAGTGATCCAGCTGTGTGAGATTATTCCCGGATTTGTGCAAAACGTGGCAATCGCAGCATTTTGATGTGGTAAACTGCCACAGCTTAACACCTCCACCTTTGGTGTAGGCGTTGGCCCAGCAGATAGTCTTGTAGGGGAGTGAACAAAGGGACAGGATGGCATGTTTGGGTAGAATTGAGCTGGGAAATAAAGAGGGGCATTCGGGAAAAAAACAGACATATTCAATATGCTTGAAAAAAGATTTATTTCATTTGACTTACAGTTTCCAACACTCGTTTATAGCCAGTACTCTTTACTTCTAACTTTTCTTACTCTCGGTGGAATTTTCAAAGGAAAGTGTAAAGCAGTCATTAAATATTCTAAAAAGTTTGAGCTTAAATATTTGTAAAGTTAACTGGAGGAGACTTCTGTAACTGGAGTAGGAGAAGTGCACAGAATATTGGCCTATAGAAGTGACAGGCAAATTTAGAAGACAGTCTGTCAATTCATAGGTCATTTTCCTGGACACCAGTTCTTGAAAAAAGCAGCTGAGCCTGATTGTTTTGTTACATTTGCATTATCATCTTGAAAATCATATTACAATAGGTTGCTGACATATTTTTTATGACGTTTCATACTTAGATGGTGTATATAATTAGAATATTTAATATAATTAAATTATATCATTAATATAATTAAATCACCAGTAAATAACTTGCATTTCAAAACACGAGCTGGTTTTTAACTTGAATGCTGGATAAACGACGTTCTGGTAGCAGTTGCTGTGGAGTTTTTGAGTGACTATCAAAAGTAACAGCATCTCCACTGGAAGTCAGTGCAGTCCACATGGAGTTGCTGTTACATATGAGAGCACCAGTGGTCAATCTTGAGTGATCTTGTTCATGTATCACCTGTAAAAAGACTTTTAAAAAGGAAAAAAACAAGTCTCTAAAATAAAGTGCTGTTTCCCTCTGAGAGTTGCCCCTGAATTTGTCACATGAAATGCTGCTGAAAGCCCTTCTTTCAAGGTGGAGCTGCTTTCTCTAACAGTGTTTTTGCCACACCAGCAATCCAGTCTTTCTAACTTAAAAGCCAAGAGGTAGTTTGTAATGTTTGATGCAGAATCTCCATGAATCTCCTTGCTTCTATGGGTCCTCCCATAACCCTAAAAGATATTTGATTCAATGGCATTGTCATCTATGTTTAGAAATTTAATATACCAAGGATGTTTAAATTCTTTTATGCAGAGTATGTTGCATCATATTGTGACCAGGAGCGTAAAAATTATTTTTAAAAACCCCTTATAGGAAAGAGAGAAAAGAGAGAGCACTTTTCCATTTTCAATAAGATTACAGAGGTGAGATTCTGCAGGATTTTTCTGTGCAAATGGAGGAAAAAAGACTTTAAATAATTTAGAGTACATGCACAAATAGATGCTTATACTATGTGACAGCTTTCAACATTTAATAGATTTCAAGAGAAAACATTCTTCATCTAGGAAACTCTGTAACTCATGGAAAAGAAGAAAGAGCTCCAAAACTGAAATGTGAGAATGGTATTTCCAGTAATAGCTCAGCCCAGGTAATAAATGTGAGATACATACTTAATTCTGACCTCATGCAATAACTGCTTTACAAATTCACTGTTCAGATATTGGTAATAAATAGTAGTATTGCAATGATTGTTCTAATGCCTCAACTTGCATCCGCTTCCCTGTGACTCTGATTAACACGTAAATTAAATTTCTGAAAAAGAAAAACCCAACGTGTTTTTGAAGGAGGTCTGTCCAGTGCTCTAATTTGTTTTTTAAAATAATAAGACATTTCAGTGAATTGCAATTAATAGCAGCTTACCATCCCCTAAATACTTACAGCTGTAGTATGGACAGTCTTGTAAAGCAGAAGATAACTTTCCCTCTTTGCCGCTGTTGGAAAGGAGATGGAGAGAACATGAGCTCTGTATTCTTCTGCTCCTGACTGTATCTTAATGCTGCCTAATTTCTGTTAACAGATTAAATAAGTGTGCAGCATAATCAATATCAGGCTCCCGGGTGATTGGCTGGAGCCTTGGTAGCGTGAATTGCCGTAGGGGTGTCAGAGCATAGCAGGGACACGTAATGCGAGTTCTTCCAGATAGCCTCTGAATACAGGGCAAAGTTTTACAATGCCCTTTATGGCTCACTCAGGGAATTATCATGCTCACCTTGAAGGCTGCAGATTATAAAGTGATGAGTAGTTATTTGAGCAAGGTGGTTTTCACTTGTACCTTACAGAAAAGTACTTTGCAAAACTCCTGCTCCTTACAACTCGGATACCTTAAATAAAGTTTTTTCTCGCTTTTAGTAAAATTAATCATAAGGATCCTACAAGAAGAGCAGAGACAAATAGAGAGGCTGTATTTGTTTTGTATTTTTCAAATAGGAAAGAAAAAGAAGGAAGAAAAAGGTTTGTTGTTGTAGGAAGAAAAAGATTTGTTGAAAAGGTACTCTGGAAATTTTTCATCTCAACTACCTCCACTTATGAAACACTGGTTAATGTTCACTTATATTCTGTAGGGAAATACTATATAGTGAAAAAACTTCCACTGCTAAAATACTACTTTAGTTTCAAATCACATTTTAAAAAATTATAGAATTTTGAGAATATTGGTCAATAAAAAGTTGACTTCACAGTCCTTGACTCCTTATTTCTTGTAAGTGATTGATAAAACGAATCTGACCTTCTTCTACTTATCTGAAAACATTTATCTTTAGCATAATTGTACCTGTTGGTTCTTGCGTAACAAAAATGTTTTTTTTTTAAATCTGCTCTTCATAAATTAATAGTGTAATCTTTGCATTGCATAGCAATGCATAGCAATACTTGATAAAAGGTTAGCCCATAGTATGTTTTGTGGAAATGGTGTATCTACAAGGGTACACAACTCTCGTGTGTGACATTGGCAGTACTTACTGTAAATGAAGGCAGGCATTTTATTATGGTTTCCCAAGGCAGAGTAATAGCAATAATAGAGTAATAGAGTTATTTCCTTCTTATCTCTCCCCTCCCCCACCTCTGATGGAAAGGAAAACGTTGTTTGTTAAGAGTGTATTTCTATATGTTGTCCAAGATAACTGCTAGTTTTGGTCTGTAGTTGGATTTATCACCTTTTATAAATCCCTCCAAATACTGATATTGTGAAATACCTGTTGAACGTTTTAAAAATGTATAGATTGAAAATTAATTCATCACTGGTGTTTATGTCCCTCCACTGAAGTTTTTGCAATATGAAAAAGTTATGTGGAAGACAGCCTTAATTCCTGTTTTAATTTTCTGCTTTACAGGATGTGCTGGTAGCTTTTCAGTACAAATTGTGGGTATGATTCCTGATCAGAGAACTTTTCTGGCTCTCACTGAGGCCAGAGTCATTAGCTGAGCACTGAATTGCTTCTTGCATGAATTACTCAACATACACAAATACTTTACATGGTAATAAACATGTTTTGGGGTAAATGATCCTCTTTTTGATTTAGCTACTCTTGTCTTCTGCTGGTGAGTTCCACGGGTCAGACTCGGCCAGGGAGAGGAAGGCATTGAAACTGTGGAGAGACCTCTTGAAATCCTCACATAAAGACAACTGGTTATCTATAACTGTCTTTAAAAATACACTGATAATGTATTTGAGAAGAATCCAAGGTGGAAAAGTCTATTGGCAAAGAGTGAAAAATAATATAGTGTAATGCTTCTTCTAAAATGTTCCTGGGTGCTACAGTATCATCACTAAAGGTCAGGGTGTAAATGCAGCTTTGTCAGTGGAAGGTACTGATCCTGCAAAAGACAAATTCAGTGGAATAGTTTAGTCCAGGCTGAGGCAAATTTCTTTTTTGTTTTTCCTGCAAGCTTTCCGAATTTTCAGATTTAAAGGAGGCAAGACATAAGGGTTGCCCATCAGCTATCTGCCAGGAATTGTACCAAGACTGGGGTTGTTCTTTGCTTTTGTCTCAGAGAAGTAAGACTCCCACAACTGGAAGTATAGCCAAACAGGCCTCTGTGCAAATATTTCTGGAAAGAAGTGGTACCATTCAGAACTGGAGCTCCTCAGTGTTGTTTTAGCGAGATAAATGTTAGCAGATATATTACAAAGCTATAAATTGTGTCCTACCACCATTGAAGTGGAAGGTGAATGATGCCTGTGCTGGTTTGAAAGGGGCTGAATGATGGTGGTGCCAGCTGGATGTCCATGTTTGAGTCTTGCTGCTTAATGGCCTCTCCCTGCAGAGGACCTGCTGGGATGTTCTGGAATTTATTTTGAGAAGTAAATTGATTAATTGATGATTGATAGATTGATACAAAATTGATGTTCTGTCGTTACAATTTGAGCAGTCAAGAGCAAAACTGGATTTTCTTCTTGCCATTGCACCTTGTATCATGAACTGAAGTAATTTGTAAGAATCCATTAAGTGTTTTAGTGATGTAGCTCAGCTTATTAGCAGTGCAGTAAAATACTGTGCTGAAAACTAATCACAAGACCAAGTGACAACTGAAGATCATCTGCCTTCTCTGTTCTCAAAATAATTATGCCAGATCATTATTTTACTTTTTCCCCTTTTGCAATACTGTGTCAAGAAATTAGTTAACTGATTAAATCTTCATTTCTTGAGTTATAAACAGATCTCTGGTGGCCTGGGTAACACAGCAGGTTTAGTTTGAAGTTGGCAGGTCATGATGTGTGCTGTACTCCTTAAATACAACAGATGTCTTAAAAATCACCTTTTTAGCAAGTGCTCTGTGAGTCAGCAAGCCAAAGCGTGTGGGGTTCCTCTTTGTTTTTTTAGATACCTTAATTTATGTCTAGACTTGGCATTAAGCAATATTAAAAATCAATTCTCCATAGTCTTACCTACTGGGGCCAAAGATTGAATGTGTCATAAATTGTGCACAGAACTGCACACCTTCAGGTTGCCTTATCTGTTCAGATCAGAAAAAATGCTTAGTTAACTTTTTAATTTTTCTTATTTCCGTAATATCTGTTTATTTCAGGACCTTTGTCCTGGCTGGTGCTATAGGATATGAACTCATAGATTGCCTTCAGAGTGTACATTGAATGGTTTATTATCATTCCTCTACTGGGTGCAGAATTTTCAGTTTCTTACATTATTGGTATTAATATATTTATATTTATTACCATTTTTTAAATATATTGCTAAAATGGGGGAATTCAGGCAACTGGAAGCTTTATATATATATATATGTATATCTATATGTGTGTATATATATATATATGTATGTATGCTACTTGAAAAGCTGTCATTTCCTCACTCCTTTCCACATGAATTCTCAAAGTCTCTGTATCCAGTAGGAAAAATAAATCTGTTGTCAAAAAGAACAGATATTCTGAGGGGAAATAGTTGTGTAGTTTCTTTAAATTCAAGGCCAATAAACAGCAAATAAAATGGATTTTAGAAGTTTTCAAGCTGCTGGCATCTTTTCTGAGTGCCCCAATTATGGAGTACTTGAAGAAGAAGATATTTGGAATCCATGTGAGTTTTTGTATGTTCTACAAATCCTCCCATCTTGGAAGGCAAAAATAGAAAGTCTTTAATACAGGCAAGAAGCTCTGTGAGTCTTGTCTGGATTAGAAGCTGGAAAATCACAGGTTCTAATTAGCTTGGTCTGTGTATCAGCATCTCTCACTGCTTTGGGTCTGGGATACTTTGGAAAGGTGTGATTACTCCTCCATTCATAAACCCCTTTTTCCCTCCTTCTAACCCAGTGAAACCATCACAGGTGTCATCAAAATAGTGGAGCAGCAAGGGACAGATGCGTGGTGGGCCCTCCCTATCGAACAGCTCCTGTCAAAAGAGGCTGTAGCAAAGGTAAACTTCTGACTTCAGGTACAGCAGCTGCTCAAGACAGTTGAGTGAAGGGAAATAACAGAAAACTTTTGTTTATTTCCTTGATCCTCTTCAGTCTTGTAGCCTAATGAGAAGGTATCTTGTGAAAGTATTCAAAAAGTGAGATCTGAGTGGGGCAGAATACACACAATTGGCTTTGTGCTGTTAATTCAGGGCAGACATCTCCATCCTCCTCCTCTTAAATCAGGAGGAAAGTGACACCCTAATTAACCACATTATGAGCCCAAATATGTATTAGGTCTTGGCCATTAAGATGGATTAGAATTTTTATTTCATTTTTCCAAATTTTTTGTTGTTATTTAACAATTGTGTACTTAAGCTAGCACAAAGCTGTAGTGTTACTGTGCCATCTGATGTTTTTGTTGTAGTTTTTCCTTGCCCTACCATGGGTTTCCATCAGTAAATATCTGAAAACTCTTGTTAAAAATTGTCTACATTATTTTGTGTTCATTCACAAAGTTGGTAACAGAACCTGTACAAAACTGGTCCAGAAATCAAATTTGTTTTATTTCTAGCTTTAAAAAGCATTGATGATGTATTCTATTTGAATTATTTAATAATCATTCTCTCAATAGGCTGGTGGTCGTGATGTTTTGGATTATGTCAAGGGACAGGATGTCCTAGACATTTGGTTTGACAGTGGAACTTCCTGGGCTCATGTTTTGGAAGGTAAAGAACTCTTATGTTGATCCTTCTTTTAAAATACTTGGAGAACAGAATATAACTGTTCCGTGTGACAGTGTTGGTGTCAGCAAAACTGAGGCAGATGATGCCAGCAGCAGGCTGGCTGTGACTTGTAAAGCTGCTTTTGCTTGTAAAGATTCTGCCATGTGGTGTACTGTGTAACTGCTGATCACATCTTGTTTTAGGGGAGAAGTGTCATGGCACAGACAGCCAAGGTAGTCCGAGGTTTGCTGTTAGCTGGTAACTCTTAAATTGTTTCTAGTTAACAAATTTCAGTCTGTGCCTGTCTGTGCTATTTGAAGCACAACAAGACTGAGATCTGCTGATGAGTTTAAGTAAGGTTTAGAATTTAAAAGTATAGGTGTGCTTTTTCACTTTTTTTTTTATTACTTTCAGTAACTAAAGCAGTATATT